TCATCAAAAGTATGAGTATATAGGATAATAAGTTCGACCTAACCAAAGAAATTGAATCCAAATTTCAGCTTCTTCTGTTTTTCTAAAAGCAACCTTTCTAGAGACAATACTAATAAAGTTCAGGTTTGGTGACTTATATTTCTGCACGCCAAACATGCATGTGGTGATGGCTTGTACAAAGCAGCTGGTAGGGCACACGTACGTGCATGAATTCCCATATGACACTTTTATACGTACCCATATGCCCCATGAAAGAACCATTCCTCTAACTATGACCAAAAAAAAATCCATGATTAGTTTGCATCTTTGAAAAGAAAACACAAAGCAATTTGACCTAAATTAGGAGCAAGTTCTCAAGGGATCATGTGTTAGCTAGTTTGGACCCACAATTAGGGTAGTTCCCTCAATTTAACTACTACTCCAGGTCATTGGAAAGAGACCCATCACCCCCTAAAATTTGTACAATTAAACTAATATAGAAGTTTCTTGTCCTACCCAAGGGGAGGCCTCTATAAGTCACCCACATTTTGGTTATATATCACACATACATGTTAGGAATATAGGCTTCTCTATGTATCCTTTGTTTTATAACCTAATTCATAGATTAAAGTTTGGAAAATTGAATAATTTGGCACACGTGGAGAGAATGTGATGCCTTAATTAGATTCTTTGTGGATGAAATGATTAGTCTCCAACATCTAATTATATGGGAAGGGGGGGGGGGGCATGATGGGCATGATTGACACTAATAATATAAAGAATAGTGTTTTTTTATTAAAAGAAATCAACAGAAAGATCTTCAACTAAACATGTCATAAGAATGATGCAAAGCCAATAATGATAGATTAATCAACAATTAAGACATGGTGCTCCCGCGCGCTTATGCAGTGTCGTAATATAAAATTTGAGAGTGAAAGAGAGAGAGGGTGGGTGTGGGGGAGGGAAGAGAGAGATGAATTCCATAGTATGAATGCTTATTAATGTGGCTAAATGCATAGGTAGTGAATTGTTCTCGTAGTTAAGATTTTTTTTTTTTTTTTCAATCCACTACAATTTGAATTTGAACTCTTCCTCTTCTTTTAGTTTAATTTAAAGTAAAAATATCGCTTGTGATCCAACAAAATAAATTCCACAATGATTATTTAAATGTTACATCGAAAGTATGGTCAAACGAGATGCTAGGTGAACTATGGACGTATGAACAACCTAAAAGTCCCAAAAACCCTGGATTTGAAGCATACAATTCAAACTCTGGTTAGTTCAAATCTAAGGTTTTTTAGGAGATTACTAGAACTTCTTAGAATATAAATTTCTTAATATTGATACTTTTCTTTATCTATGTGCTTAATTAGAAGATGTGCTGCTTAATTAATTACAATCACGATTCAAAATTCTCCGGCTTGCCACTAATATTTTACCTACTTTAAAGAAAACAAACAAACAAAAGTGCTTAATTAAGTGACATACGTTATAACCACCGGAAAAGAAAAAAAATTAACATACTAATTGGGCTCGTGCATATGCAACATAAGAAATAGTAATAAGACTTTCTCAAAAATAGAATACTCCATAAACTCTCTACCAACTCATTTTTTAATACAATATTTTATAATACTGGTACAAGAATTGATGTTAGACTGTAGGTGTTAGAGAGTCCATCTAACATTCCTCCATGTGACATATGTTATAACCGCCAAAGCTATAAAGAAAATTAAAACCAACGTCAGCAATAAGATCTATAACTAATCAAAGGCTTAAACTAAACATTGACAATTGGCGTCAGCCACGTTTGTGTTTTGTAAACCAATTTTCAACAGTTATTTATGTTGTTTCTTCTGGTTGAGGCAACTTGATACATCATTCTATCCACCTATCCACTGTTGGCAGAGTTTTCAACGGCCGACTTGAGGGAAAAAAGGAGTTCAAATCCAACATGGTGACCAAATACATTGCTCTCTTTTCTTCTCGGATATCCAGTAACCTGCAAAGTTGTTACTGTCAATTACATACCCACCTTAGTCGACAATGATCCTACCCAAATTATTAGTATGAATGATTGGAAATATTTCTTTTTCTTTCTTTTCATTATTGGAGGGAATAAACGATTAAGTGCTACTCAGTTGAGCTGAATCGATTCATTTTAAATCTAATATTTTATTTATTTATTTAACAACTACTCATATTATATCTAATATAAAAAAACTCATTTTAAAAAAGCATAAATTTTAGATGGGAATGTTATCTTCTAGTTTCTCATTTTACGTTCTCATATTCCCTTCTCATCATGTAATTTTGTATGATGATCTGAACCGTCTACGTTTCATTTCACCCTTTTTAGGTAAACTCTGTTAAAAATAACCAAACTAGAAATCATTTATCTATTTGATTAATTTTGTCAAAATTTTATGATTATTTGAACAACATGGTTTGTTTAAATTAGAATTTGTGAATTCTTCAATATTATTCTTCTCAACAAGAGGAAATATATGTAGTTGTATAACCCCTAATCACAATTAATCTAAGAAACCTATTAAGGAAAGGAATCCTCAATATAATCAATTACAATATTTGCATTCCTATCTAACAATCCGCCTCAAGTTGGTGCATAATATCGAACATGCCCAACTTGCCCACAAGTTTTGCAAATATCCTCTTCGATACAGTGTTTGTTAAGGCATTTGCAAGTTGATCTTCCGACTTGACTCTTGGTATTTCAATAATCTCCAAATCTAGCTTCTTCTCGATGAAGAACCAATATACTTCCACATGCTTTGTTCAATCACGATGAACTGTTTTAGCTACGATCTCACACGTAACTTTATTGTCACAATACAACTTCATAACTTTTTTTGAATCATATCCCAAATCCCTCAAGATATTTCATACCAAAGCATTTTAGTAGTTCTCAAAGCAACAACTTTGTACTCGACTTTGGCACTCGAGCGAGTAACAACATTCTATTTCTTAGTTCTCCAAGCAACGAAATTACCTCCTACAAAAGTGAGGTAACCTGATGTTGATCTCCTATCGTCAATTGATCCTGCCCACTCGACATCTGTAAACACTTCAACCTCCAAATGACCTCTTTTAGATAACAAGAACCCTTTACTTGGAGCTGATGTGAAATCCCGTCCCCGGATATCGCTTTTTCATATTTCGTATTTTTCCAACTTTATTTTATTTTCATTAATTTTGTAGTTTTACTTTGGTTACAAAGTTTGGTTTTTTGTAATTAGTCATTAAAAATCCGTAGACCTTTGGGGTCACTCATAGAATTTTCAGATAGGGCTCGATCCTACGAACACATAGATGAAAATCATTTGTGAAACAGAATTTTAACGAGGGAGATATAAGCGATCAAAGTCAAAGGTAATTTGGCATATTGTCGCTTGCTATTTATAACTTCCCTAAGAAGTCATTCCCATTTTGGAAACCCAACCTAGATAGCTGACCAGTTTACCCGTTTGACCCACGATCTACCCAGGTTCGCTGGGCAAATTTTCGACGATGATTTCGACATTTTTCGGCTGTTTAACCACCGTAGAGGGTGGTTCGAAGGCCACCGATTTTTGGGTTTTTCTTCGTCGTCGATCACTCATCTCTAGTCACCCCGACACAACAATCACAACCAATCATAACAATCGCAACCAATTAAAAATTCGAATTGAAAATAAGAAAACCACCCCACCTCACCTCACCCCCACACCACCCAACACAGTTTGACAACAAACCTCTTTCACTATGCGTCGTGAACCCGCCATTAAGCACCTTCTGCTTGTTGACAGCCTTGACGCATCGCTCTGTCCCATGTGGACGTTCTGCGTAGTCCTGTAACAACTGTGTTTTTGAAACGGATGGTTGGGCTTTTCCTTTTTCTTCTTGTTTTTTTTTTTCTTCCAATTTTTCAGTTGACAACTTCTTTCTATTTGAAGAAAGCCATGCGTTCTCTACGTGATCTTAAATTTTTGTTTTTGTTATGGCTATAAAATATAAAATAGATTAGGATAATTTTTAGTAGGGCTTTAGAAGACATTTGACACAAGGTCAAAAGTGTCATTAACTTTGTTAGTAAAAAGTTGGTGGGGAAATAAGTTTGTGGGGTGCATATATTTGTTCTCATAATTAATAGGACTGCTAGCTATCTTTCTATTTTTATCATCTACTTTCACCTTGTTTTATTATTTTTAAGATCCTACAATATTGCTTGATATTTGAATTTTCTATGTTTTAAGTCATAAAGACCATATCTACAAAAAATTAGCTGAAACAAAATCTATTTAGTCATCTAATTTTATTATCCAATAATAGACAAAAGATGTTCTTTAGTTGAACAAAGAAATCATGACAACTTTACTTGAATGGTTAAATGATTTCCCATTTGTTTGATTATTTATGAATCATATTTATAGAGTAATTTATAAAATAAACGATTTTGATCATCAAGTAATATTGAGAATTTTAAAAAAAAAAAAAAAAAAAAAGAAAAAGAAGAGGTTAATTATCATCCTTCAACAATTAACTAATCGTCACTAATAACACGCTGATGGAATGTCACCTTGAAATTATAACTAGCTAGTCTTGATTAAAATGTTGATGGTGGGCATATCTGTAGTGGAAAGACAATGAGATAATATTTTGGAAGATGTATATACATAGAGAACTATTACAGTTCATCAAACTGTTTCTGCGTTTCATAAGTAGACATCGATCGTAACAAACAATTATTTCTCCTGGTGAGATATATATAATAACCAAATGGCCAAAGAACTAGTACAAAGTCTTCGGCTGACTAAATAAGTGACGCATTCAACACGATTGGTGGAAAGGCAAGTCCACCCCTAGAAATCTTAGGCAAATATAGTCACAAGGGTCCAACCCTCTCTCTGGCAGTTGGGGCAGCCAAATTTTGCTCCTACTCCCTTAAGGTGTCCCCACATGATCAAGAATATTGATCAGGCTACTATTTTCTTAATCCCAATATTCTCTTTCTTCTCTACTATATATACCTGCTCTCCTCTGGACGTCTTTTCTTCAACTTCCCAACAGTTTACTACCAACACCATATACCTATATTTCCTTGTTCTATTTTCATCATCTTATTAATTCAAAAAGCACTACTACACAGATGGAAGATCGCTCCAGAAACTCTATGATGGGAAGAGGTAATTCTTCTGATACAAGAACCATTCCTCAAGAGTCCCCTGAGGAGAGTAGTTGGACTATGTACTTGCAAGATTTCATGACAACCAATAGTCAAGACGATAACGATGACGACCGCAGTTCTTTCTCCTCATACGGTTACGAGAATTGTTCCATAATCTCCGACGCCGGTTCTTCAGTCACCCGAAAGTTTACTATTAATGGAGAAGTTTTAGGGTTTGGCGTGGTTGGAGGTTATAATAGATCTGGCGTCATGTTTAAGAGACAACCCAAAGAAGTTTTGCTTGATGATGCTTTGGAGGACACAGCTACTTCTCCAGTAAATAGTCCCAAGGTGGCTATCCTAATTCCTGATTGTTTTTTTGTTGGTCCAATGTTTTTTTAATCATGCTAGCTGTTTACAAGTCAAATGTTTAACTTATGCTTCCCAGATTTAATTAATTTCATTTGTACTTTCATTAGATTCGTAATCTAAGCCGGTCAACTGTGGAACCAACACTCCAAAAAGATTATATAGACATACCTAATGCGGTAAAAAAGAAATTTACCACACTATTTTTTCATCTGTTTTCTTTTTATTGTAGCCTTGTCTTTTTTGCAAACATTGAGTTCTTAAACTGATGGTGTGCTTTGAATTTTTGCTCTTACAGGAGAAAGGAAGTACTTCTGGCCGGGTGGATGAGAGAAATGAATCGGGATTTATTGGGAGAGAGAGTGACTGCACAGAACTGAAGAAAAGAGGACTTTGCTTGGTTCCATTTTCTACGGTAGCAAACTATTTTGGATGAATCATTGCTATCATCGTCCATATTTACTAGTACCTCAGTGAATACGTATATCTCTTCTCTCTCTCTCTCTCATGATCATTGATTCTGTACATAATGTGATCGATTGCTTTTATCATATGCTATTGAGCAAGTACACTCCATGTATCATCAATTTCAGCAATAACAAAATCAAAACCAGTTGTCCAGTAGCTGTAGACGATATATGTAGTCTTTTCCCGTTAGGTTTATAATATGATCACAATCATATTGTCATGGTATCAACAGTATCAATATTATAAACGACGTATCGACGGCATATGTACACTAGCATCTCTTGAAAGTGTGTAGCTAACCACGCTAGATTAAATTTGCATATACAAAATATAGCAGGCAGAATTAGTGTTAGATGAGGTAAGAGACATTAATTTATTGGGCCAAAACTGCACAAATTAACTTGATTATATTCGTCGAAACTGTCTTACAGTGAGGAAATCAAATAAGTTCATTGTTGAAGATCCCCACTAAAGGACCATTTTGTTGTAATATATCCCTTTTCGAATTTATCTTTACCTTAAAAAATAAACATTAACTACTAGACACATCAAAGAAAAACGCTTGCCACTTAGTACTACGATTTAGTGGTATTTCTCTTCACTTGCAAGTAAGAGGTCGGTTCGATTCTCGTCAAAGACAAATTTGAACCATATTATTGCTAACCCATTATGAGATTAAGTTCATCCCCCTCCCCCTTACTATAAATAATATCATTTGTTTTAAAAAAAAAAAAAAAAAAAAAAAAAAAAAAAAGGGGAAAAACATTCAAACGTGGATTAGATTGCTTGTTTAAAAATATCAGATATACCATTCACACCGAAGACAAGTACTAGACATACTCACATATCTGTCATCTGTGTACTGAAGAAGCATCCTTTGTTAGTAGTCTTTCATTTGGATACCCAGCACATGCACATGCGGTTCCCTCACGTAACATTTTTTTGGTTTATATGCTACATGTATATTCGCATTCTCTCACTACAAAGTGATTGAGCATTATCCAATTTTCTCATGATCGATCACTCACTCTTATCATCATTAGTGTATTTTCCTGGCGGAGATGGTTTCACCCAACCATTGCAAAATTGAACTTAAAAGCGAGTTCGCTTTCTGTTTTGTCATTGTTATCTTATGTAGTATTGGTGGCTCGCCGGATTTTTCCCATTAGATACACTTCGTCTGAGCTTTAACAAAGGCCGTCTATAGTCTTCCGTTTTGTAATTCCTTTCTTCTTTAATTGGGTTGCCAATTTTAAGAGAGAGAGGGAGAGAGAATGAGATGAAGTAGAACGTTTTAAATGTTTAAAAAAAATAAAAAATTGGGTGTGCGCATCCAGGGAATCGAACCCTGGTCAGTACCGTGGGAGGGTACTATGATACCACTACACCAGATGCGCTTGCTTATTCTAATGGTTTATTGTAATTATACTTACAACATTTTCCCATTTTGTTATTTCCAGCTTGATTTTTGAAGCAATGTTTAAATTCACTAGCCAAATAGAAGCTCGTTCCAATCCGAAATTCTACTGTGCTTCGACATGTGGCATGCATCCGACTGGAGAAATCAAGAGATGGATGTGTTGTCAAGGATTTAATTACCAAAATTTAAACACTCGAAGATCTCGATGTATACTATACACTAGTGCCTACCAGAAAAGCCCGAAAAACTATTACTAATAAAAAACAAAAACTAACAAAAGGAATCGCCTCTACCACTTCTATTTTAAAATATCTACGTTTGCTAATGCATATGACTGATTGAGATGGGAAATCCACAGGCGCCTTTGGCCTCTTTTTTTTTTTCTTTCCAATAAGTAACTCTTTTGGTCACAAAAAAGAAGAAGAGTATTCACCAAAAGAATTATCAATTTGGTGTTATTCAAATTTAGACCATCAGTTTTGAATATTGTTACAATTATTCAATTGTTCAGCTATTTTGCAGCACCTTTTGGATCCTTGAAACGAGCAGGTTTCGGGTTTATTTTTTCTCAGGAAGCTTCTCCAGCAACTCCGGAATAACTTCAAATATATCGCCTACGAGTCCATAGTCAGCAACCTGTGATGATTGAAGTTTATTTTACAATTGGAATGGCAAAATCAGCAGCATGTAAGTGCATCCATGTCATATCATTCCAAAAGGTCTTGGAACTACGAAAACTACACGCAAAGCAAGTTTTGCGGAACGTAAATTCCCTAAACCTAAAACACAATCTGATTCATATTTCAAGAACGCTTCTCCCTTTTTCTTTTCAGCAGCGGAGGAAGTAAAAATGGCTTGGACCTTTGGATCTTTGAGAAAATACTAATTTTTAAGAAATGAATGCATCTTGTATAGGATGAACCTTGACAAAACTTCGAGAGAGTTCAAATCATCACCTGAAATATTGGGGCATCTGCATCTTTGTTCACAGCAACAATGTACTTGGAATCTCTCATGCCTGCTAAATGTTGAATGGCTCCTGAAACACCAAAAGCCAGGTACAACTCCGGGGCAACTATCTTTCCAGTTTGGCCAACCTAACAGACAAAGCAATCACATTCTAAGAGAAGTTAGAACCAAAATACATGACAAACAGAACAAAAGACTAACTATAACAGGATCAAGGATGTGAGACATCATATCCTTGAGATAGTGCAAATGGTTAACATTCATGATATCTTTATGGCGAACCATTTTGAAATCAGAACATTCAATTCCAGGAGATGTTTTGCCTGTTGACGAAGTATAAACTAAAGAGGAAAAAGCATACTAGCTTTGACTACAACAGGTACTCCAATAGTCCAATGAAGCATCTGCTCTACAAACTACTTAATTGGGACTACAAACTACTCCAATAATCCAATAGTCCAATGGTCCAGTGAAGCATCTGCACTACTAACTACTCCAATAGTCCAATGACTAGAACAGAAGATGTTTTTGGATCCCAGAAAGGATTCTGAATTGGGACTCAACAAGCCCTTCTATATGGATGAATTATTCACTTGTTGCATAATGTCAACTTATAACAGATGAGTTTTGAGAGTATCATGTCATTACATTAAACACAAAATATTCTTCAAGGTTGGGAAGAACATTTATAAATGTTACCTGCAGCTCATTAGGAACATATCCTGCATCAACAGCAGCACGGGTAGCTCCAACTAATGAAAAGAGAAGAAACGTCAGATTTTTCTTATCCACATTGCAAAAACAGAACATGCCTATAAGTTCAAGTATGGAAGGCTAAAATTCATCTAAATTGTGAATTTAATGTATGTTGTTGATATAACTCAACAACATATCACATTGCTAGAACAGAATATGTGTATAGACTCAAATATGGAAGGTTAAATTTTTTATAAATTGTGAATAAATGTTTATACAAGTCAACTAAATTCTGTATATCATATTAAGTCATAAGAAAGCATGGCAAGTAATCAACCAGAAACATTACAGCTTATCAGCATACACACAGCCACAACTCACACACGACAAAGTAACAAGAATAAGACGCACGAAGAGCAACACTAATAAGATTACAGATGCTGGAAAGAAAGAAAAAAAGAATGGAGTTCTGAGCACAAAAAGGATTGGTGGAATTACCAGCTGCACCAAGTTTCTCAGCAAGTTTTTCTATCATTTTGAAGTTTTCAGCACTTTTCAACGCACGGCCCCCAGTAACCACAACACGAGCATTCCCAAGATCAGGCCGTTCTGTATCCTGTGATGTGTGCTTTACATATCGAGATTTACCAACAGAATCTGCAAATGAGATATAAAGCTATTTTAAAAGATGGCCTATGTTTTAATAGTCAATTAGGTAAAAAATTTAACAGCTCCATTTATGATCAAAAGGACGTTTTCTAGGGTTACACCATAGACATTTGTAGCATTACCGTTGACCAGTGAAAATGAATTCACAGGTGGGCATAGAAGCAGTCACATAACTTCTTGTTAATTAAATTAGATTTAAACGTATATTTGACTAGCAGATATTATGCATTCAAAAATGACAATCTGACCTTCACCAAAGGTGGAGAGGTCAACCTGGGAGATAGGAGCTTCATTTGATTTCGAATCAGCCCAGATGGGGGACACTGGAAAAGATGTTGACCTAATACTCAGCAGACAAGGGCCAGCACCAGTGTATCGAACAGTACAAAGGGCATTTCCGGCATATATTGGCCTGCCATATGAAAAGATAATCTTACATTCTTACTGGTAGCTTGATGAAACCAACATGTACCACAGATACACAGTCAAAAGTCAACCAAGACATGCTTACACAGGAACGTGAAACTAACCCCTCTAGACCTTTCCATAAGGGAAACAAGATACAAGAATAAAGACATATTTCATGTTGGCATGCATCTGAGTTATAGTAAGCAGATAGTTCTAGTTTGAAGAGCAGGGTATTTCCTGATGCATGAGGATATGATTTTGTAAACACAGTTGTAGTGGCTTTGATGGATTATACTTCGGTGAATTGCTATTTCACCGTGTTGTACTGTTGTTTAGTTAATTTCATTTTACCAAAGTCGTTATGTACAAAAGAAAAACAAAATCACCAAACAATAATTTACATAATACGAGAAGTGATCACAACAACAACCTAACAACAAAGTTACCTGACAAATAGATGAGAATCAGAAATTTCAATCACATCCGTGATTGGAGAAACATCTAAAAGCGCAGCAGCCCGTGGCAGTATGTTCTTCCCAAATGAACCCGAAGCAGTGATTACATGTGAGTACCCGCCTTTCTGCTGAACCAAATGGATCAGTCTAGCCCAAGGTTCTGCTAGATGATGACTAAATTTCTCAGAATCAGCCACAAGCACCTACACAAACAGTTAGCAATCAAACACCATAACACTCTGCATATTTCAAAATCCCATATCATCATATGGGTCAGTAACCCATTTGGAAATATAAAGGCCGTTTGATAACCATTTCGTTTTCAATTTTAAATTTTTTGGAAAACCGAGAACTCTTTTGGTAACTATATCCTGTACGCTAAAAACTAAAAACTGAAATGGTTATCAAACGGGCCCTAAAACAACCTCAAATGCAAGATTTTTAATTACAGCTTGAAGAACATGCGGGGTGCCATTTGAGATACCTGAGAAACTGACGGGTCACACGAAGCAGCATTCGCAGCCGCTTCATGGAGGGCAGGGCCGGAGCCTGCTAATAACAACGAAATCGAGTTTTCGTCGCTCAAAGAACTTGCAGCCTTCACTGCGCTGACTGATTGGGGTTTGATATTACCACCTTCATGTTCGGCTAAAACCAATGTGCTAATCTGCTCAATTATTCGAAATAAATCAGAAAATTATACAATTACAAACTGGTAATGAATTCTCAGTAAATTAGTCGAAGCGAAAATTTTGAAAATTCTGAGGAGACTGGAGGAAAGTGAGACTTACGGATCTTGAATTGAAGGATGAAGCGAAAATTCGTGACTTGAAGGAAGGAACGATTCGTTTCCTGAAGGCTCTGAAAGCTGCCATTTCTGAAGCTCTCTCCCTCTCTGTGTGTGTAGCTTTTGGGGACGATGACGATGGAGGAAGAATGACATAGGCAAACGATCGAAACGGCTGAGCTCCAAACTTCCTAATAAACGTGGCATTCTTATCAGTTATCACAACGGTTTTTAAGAAAGAACGGTGCGTTTCACCTGGGTCTTCACTTTTTTACCTTCTCATTTTAACAATTTACTAACGATGACGATCCCATCTAACGGCTATATAATAAATAAATAAATAAACAATTTTTTTTCGATTAAACATTTAATTATAGATATGTTAATACAATTATGAAACGATTTTCTATTGAGTTGATTTTTTAGAGTTAATCTTTAGAATTTGGCCTATAAAAAATGAGAAGGTTTCTAATATTTCCTTGCAAATTTTACTCTCTTTTTTGTGTGACCATAGATGGCATTAAATTGTTGATATTAATAATTGGACAAACATGGATGAGATTGTAAAATTACACAACGCACAAGTACAAAATGATGTAGATTCACTTGAAATTATTGAATTATTGGAGATAGTTTCAACAAAAAATATCGCGAAGAAATTACAGATTGCATGTTTTGTAAGATACTTTTTGGGTCTATGGCATCTTCCAAACCTGACGCATCACAATTTGGAATATACACCTAGACTTTCACACCCCGAACCCTAGATATGTCAAGGATTGACACACGACGTTTGTTCTACCTGCTCAACAACCATGCCGAGCTTCGAGGACATGACCAAAAATAACCAAGCTATTCAATAACAGTCATTTTTTTTTTCATTTTTTTCATGGTTACATCTAACCTCTGTGCTAGACTGTCTACGCACCTCAAGACAAAATCAAGCTATTCATAGTTCAGCTTTTAATAAACTCTAATATTTCTCATAGTACTTTATAGCAGAAAAACATAAAGTTCTAGAATCACTCAATAGAACTCAACTAGCATAATTCACTAGATTGTAGACTACATAACAAAACCATATGCCAATCAAGATTGTGATTTCGTTATTCACACATATCACCACGTTCTCTAACACAAATCAACAATCACCACAAGCAATCTATTCCATGAATCAAAGATGCACTATATTAATACTTAACTATGCTGATCACCCAACAAGATCAAACATCGCTTCACTGATTTTAATAAGCCAACCTATATGTGGTTTACTGTATATTCTTTACTTGAAATTCAAGTATTCAACATCGTAACTCTAAGTTACAACCACAAGCATGAACCTGAGTAAATTATGTGCATAAGAATCTAGGGTTCTGGACGAACTCAATAGAATAGAATAGAAAAAGGGATTCCGAATCACTGACCACAATCCAGCAAAGATAGGGTTCCCCAATGCAAATTAACTAGGCGGACTCTAGGTATCAATATGATAGTGCGATTCCCAATATGGATTAACCAGATAGGACCACCTATGATCTAGTGACAAAGTAGGTCGTGACCTCCCAATGCAGATTAACTACGCAAAGTACCCTTAGAATGCGTATGATCCCCCAATACGGATTAACCATGGAAAGTCACCACTATAATGCTTATAGTCCCCAATGTAGATTAACTAGGCGAGACCATCCATGTACAACACTACTTCATGGTGCTGTCATTTCATCGCATAGGATATAACATACACTATAGACTCCACATAAATGATGATTGTAAGCACATACACTATAGACTCCACACGATCAACAATTATGTAATCACAAAGACATACAAGTTTTATAGAATAATTCTTATACAGTCCTCGACATATCTCTTCATACTAGTAATCACACATTATCATTATTGTTATCTAGAAGCTTAATACACACGTAAATCCCAATAAAGTGCCACTTGCATGCAAACTGAGATACACATCCCTAAGGTGGTTCGCTAACTAAGATAGACCCACTAGACTTTATCGGGTCTCTAGTAATGCTAACTTCCGCTCCTAAGAATGATTCAAAACATGTTGACCAAAAGTCAACCTTCAGTCAACATGGTTAACAGTAAAGTCAACAACCCTATGTAATTCAATACGGAAGATCTGCACATTGAATTTTTGATCCGTAAATTCCTAAGATTCTTACATAAAATGAATAACAACATACTATATTTCGTGATGATCTAACGGTCGAATCTTTGTTAGTGACGGTTCTTTGTGAATTTAGGTTCAAACAATGAAATCTCATCAAATGGACATCGAAAATGAAATCAAGGCATATAAATTAGTCTAAGGAGACAAAGTTGGGTAACTGGCAACGCGCCACCTCCACACGCGTAGCGACTGGCGGTTCTGACTTGTCGGAGTTTTTAACGATCACCAAAATGACTCAAATTATACTAGCATTAAGATAGTGAGGAATAAAGTATTTTTCATATCTTCACCGGAGTGTAAATCTGGCCAGAGGACGGCGAAAATTGTCATGGAAGTCACGAATTTGCTATAATTTTGTGTTGTCACCATGGATGCTTCAATGGGTGATCGGAACCCATGGATCTCATCTTGGGGTCCTGGGCTATTAACTAGCGGTAATGATAGACCTCGGGGGTGGACGGAAGTATGGATTTGTCGTTTGTGAGGTTCGAAGCTATTGATCTCGATACGTTGAGAAAACATGGCCAAATAGGCACAAGGTTGGGTGGGTTATGTTCATGAGGATGAGGAGTTTAATGGTGGTGGTGGCAACAAGCCTTGCCGTAAGGGCTCGTCGAAAAAACCTCAGGAAGTCTGGATTGAACACAAGTTAATGGGCCATGTACTTGGGTCAATGCTGGCCAACACCCAAGCGGGAAGGCTTCTCTAGTACTTCTTGACCCTTCCACTTATAAAGGTCTTAATCATAAAAATCCGCCCACCTTTGCTTGTTTATTTCTCCTTTGTTAAACTCCATTTCGCGAACGGTTTTCACCTACCCTTTTGTAGAATTGAGCTTTATTCGAAAAAAATTAAGAGTGCCCTCGAAGGGCCTACGACCTTTTAATGACCATTTACGAAAATCAAACTTTATAACTAAGTAACCAAAACTCTAAATTTGATGGAAATTAATAATAATTTTCCGAAAATATGATATACGAATAATTGAATAGTGGAATCCAGTGATTAGATTTCACATGGACACTTGAGTCAAAGAATGTTGACCGAAATCTGTAAGGTGACGAAGCCATAAAGTGATATTGAAGTGGAAAGTTAAGAATAAATCAAAACTTAAATTAATTGGATAAGAGTGCAGATGTGAGCGAGGTTAAACCTTTATTACAAAAATAAGTGTCAGAGCATAAATATCATGGTGCAAGATAAAGTATAAATACATCTTACAATTTCCCTAAGCTCATTAGTTAAGTTATTTAGTAAATTAAAAAATTTAATTTTAAATTTTAAATATGTAATCTAAACTACATATTAATAGTATCACTTATATGTGATTTTAACAACTATATTATTTAAAATTAAAAAAAAAAAATTACAAGTAAACTTCTCCCCTCTGTCCACTCCCTTATCTCTCACTCTCTTTCTCTCGCTCTCATCCTCTCTTAGCTCTCTACTCCTAAGTTCTTTTGTAAATATAATAATTTTTTTGAAAGGAAAACTAATAAAAAAAATTTGAAAATTTTAAGTTTTAACGATAGGAACAAAATAAAGGGTAAAATGAATAGTATTAGATCAACTTTTTAGTATAAAAATATAATTTTTCGTTAAAGTAAACAGTACTGAGAATTTTTCGTTAAAATTTCATTTTTTGAATTCCATTAAATTTTAAAATAAACATATAATATTCAAGTGATATTACTATAATATCAAGTCAGGTTCCCTCCACTCGATCTGATTCTCTTGCCGCACCTATTGGCCACAACATCCTCAGGGCACCTTTGCTTATCACCGTCGCAGACGTGACCAATAAGTAGGAGCGGAAAACAAATAGAGAAAGCAAAAGGCGAGAGACGAACGCTGCAGCTCTCTCTCCCATTTCATTCTCTCTGTGATTTTGCTCGGGAAATTGGGATTTGAGCTCTCCGTTGCTCTGGAATCAAATCCAGTCCGCTCATCTCAGCCATGATTTCCACCGGCAAGATCAAGTCCGTCGATTTTTACAGGTTAAATCTCTCGCATTTCCTTCACTCCCTTTCACTGTTCATCAGCTCTGTGTGTGTGGTTTGGATCTGATCGTGGAAAATTCAGTTGGATTTTGTGTAATTGGTTTTGGTGTGTGTGATCTGTGAATTTTTTATGGACAAGGGAATGAATGGCTTGGAATTATAAACAGAATTGAAGTGATTATAATCAAGATTAATAATTTAATCAATACTAATGGAAAAGATTGGTGATTTGATTAGTTTGGCTGCTTAGAATTACTATAGTAATTTTTTTCCTTTCAGATTTAGGTTGATTGTTTTTTTGGAGGAGTTGGAATAGTGTTTGATTGCATGAATGAACATTGGAAAGTAATGAAATTGGTATTATCCATAATTTTTCGAAATCGAACTTTCTATGGAATACCTATTTAGCTGTTACACAAAAGATGAATTAGGCATTCCATCCATACGTTGATGCCATTGAAAGGTCCATTTCAACCACACCACCGAAGAGTGAGGAAGCATTACTAGATTATTTGGATGTGCTTATTGGGGGCATTAATAGCAAAAGATTAAAGGGTTTTAGCTGCTGGGTATCTGGCCTTTATTGTTATTGTTTTGGGGGACAGAAGTTATAGAAACAAAAAGTTAAACGAAAAGAAAACCTGAGGCAAAAGATAATAAATAATGATACAAACAAGTATTGGAAAGAAAATCTGCTTTCAGAGTCGGTAGTGCATAGCATTGACATAAAAATTTCTAATTACATGTGCTCGGAATTGAGTAAATTTTCTTCATGCATGTATGAAACTAAAGTTATATTGTGCCGCATTGCATCTCTTCTAACCCTGTGAAATAGAAGGAAAAGGAAATTTTCTCGAACACCACCTGGACTGTTAGGGGTGTGCAAAATACCACCCAAACAAAAAATCTTGCCAATTTACCACCCTTACTCCACTTTTAGTGTGGATATGCCTACTGTCATTTTCCGTTAGAAATTCCATCAAATCTCATCATGAGATGAGCACGTGAGCACTTTTCCTGCATATTTTGGGGAAAGAATTTCTTTGACCATAGCTTGTCTTCGAGGAAGCGGAAGATATGTCATGTGAGCTTTTAGTCAACTGAATTCTTACCCTAAGTCATCTAGGGGCCTTTAAGTGTAAAAAATATACTTGTAAAGGGCTCACATGTATTGCAGTCTTTGCAGATGATACAACAACAACAAAGCCTTTTCCCACTAAGTGGGGTCGGCTATATGAATCCTAGAACGCCATTGTGCTTGGTTTTGTGTCACGTCTTCCGTTAGATCCAAGTACTCTAAGTCTTTTCTTAGAGTCTCTTCCAAAGTTTTCCTAAGTCTTCCTCTACCCGTTTGGCTCTGTCCTGTAATCGCATCTTCTAACCGGAGCGTTAGTAGGCCTTCGTTTCACATGTCCAAAAGTCTTTGCAGATGATACATAATGGAGGTGGTACATTCACGCTGAAACATGAAACTAGGTGGTACTTTTTGGGTGGTATTTGCACGCACCCCTAATGGTGCTGGTGGATTTTATCATTTTTTCTATATAAAATATATAATCTGTGCTGTACTTTCGGTGCAATATTTTCACCTATAGGGGTTGTCCTGATATTTTTATAAATATGTATTTAAGCTACAAATGCTTTACCTATGTACAGGAAAATACCTAGAGATTTGACAGAAGCATCATTATCCGGTGCAGGATTATCTATAATAGCAGCTCTTGCCATGATGTTTTTATTTGGAATGGTAAGCAGCTCATATCTCTATTGGTTACTAATGCGCTCGAATATTCAAATTTGACCCAATTGACATGGAGTGATGATTCTTTTTTAAGTTTTATCTCCAGTGATGTTTGTTTTGGTCCTGTATGGATGCTTAGCCTTTTTTCTATTTTATAATATTTATGAGAATTTCCAGTACATCTGTTTCGTTTTCCAAGTTCGTTTCTTTTCATAATTCTATTTTGTTGAGATATTCTTGTGGTTAATGTACATCATCATATCTACATTTACCTTTCTATATTTCTTTTTCAGTAATCTGTTTCAGCACTTTATTACCTTAATTTAATAATCATGACATTCCTTTACATCCTGGTGGAACTTATGCTCACTTTACAGGAACTGAATAATTATTTGACTGTCAGCACCTCTACATCTGTTATTGTTGACAAGAGTTCTGATGGGGACTTCTTACGCATTGAATTTAATGTCAGGTAAACTTTCATAGCGGCATTGACGTTCATGAAGTTATTAAGTCAGTTTGTTCAAAGATAACTATTTTAACCATCATTTTGTAAGTCTACATTATCTTCTTAGTGGTGGTACACATGTAGATCCTATATATGAAGTTATGAACGAATAGTTATTACTATTATAAATTATTAAGAGGGGCGTAAGTGTCATGGTTGAGAGTGGTGGGACTTATGAAGTGTTGACAAAGTGATGCCTAGTTCGGTTCATGGCTTCACGTGCATTTAAATTGATTAGGTTAAAATGATTCTTAGGTGCACTACATGCGAATTAGTAGGCAATGCTTTAATCGGCCCGAAAGAGGCAATTATATTGTGCGAGCATTAGACTATCAAGGTGCCCCGTTTCTTACTCCTGGAAAATTTGTTGATATAAAAAAAAACTCTTGGCTTTTCACTTCGATAATTATTATGCAGTATTTCTTCCCCTGCCTTTGTCTCAGTTCCTTGGCTCCCTGACTAATTTTATCTCCTTTGTCATGTAGTTTTCCCGCACTCTCATGTGAATTTGCATCCGTTGACGTGAGTGATGTGTTGGGAACAGTAAGCTTCTCTCTCTACTCTGTTGCTGATTTTTTCTGCCTAATGCTATTGATCCTTTGTTAGTTATTTTTATATTCTATATGTGGTATCCATCTGTCCTGAACCAGTTCCCTTTTATTCTCAGAACAGATTGAATATAACAAAAACAATTCGCAAGTTCTCTATAGGGACAGATTTAAGACCAACTGGCTCCGAGTTCCGTTCCGGACCCGTTTTACATAACATTAAGCATGGGGATGGAGATGAGTATTCTGGTGATGGCTCTATTTTGCTAACTGCCCAGAATTTTGAAAAGTTTACTCACCAGTAAGTGGAGCAACGTTTAGGTCCATACTTTTGATATTTAATGCCCCTGATGTGGTACACTACTGTTGTTATGTTGCAAAGTGATACCTTTCCTAATTTTGTTTAAACAATTCTTCTGCAGGCACCCAATTTTGATTGTTAATTTTTATGCTCCTTGGTGCTACTGGAGCAATCGCCTGGTAAATAAAATAGCTTCACATATTTTTCAAATCTCTTTTGATGAAAGTTTTAGCTTTCTTAATCAATCAATTTCTACAAATCTTGTTTTATAATTGCGTATGCATATGCATACTATATGTTTTTGGCATGATTGCAGAGAAATTAGAATCTCATATTTTGGCCAGAAATTAAACGTTAGATCATGTATGCCAAGAATGAGATCGTTCAATCATGGGAAAACTTGTCAATTTCAGTTTTCATTGGGAATAGCACAAGCTGAGGATTTCTTCAATTTATTTAAATCTTTAAGTTTTGCCAAAAAAAAGAAATCTAAGAGGTTGTAATATATGTATTTTGTTTCATCTGACTTCTTTCTTACATACAATTTTTTTTGGGTTTTGGAGACATGTTTTACTATCATTTACTGCCTTGATTGTTTCCCCTCATTTCACACTCTTGATCATGTATGTGCCTGTGCATATGCATTATCTTTTGATGAGTCACAAGATCCTTGGGTTAATTCATGTTGCCCTCTCTTCATTTTAGATGGAACTGTTCTATATTTAGAAGATACTTTGTGTGCATTAATTGTTTGGTTGATGTAATTGAACTATTTAGTTGAATCCATTCAAAAGCACATCTTTCTTGCTGCATTTGGATCTTCCTCTTTTATTACTTACTTCACGTTATCACTTTCTTTTCAGAAACCTTCATGGGAGAAGGCTGCCAAAATAATAAGAGAAAGGTGCTTCACTCTGAAAATTGTGCTGATTTCTTCCACATAATATGATTTTCTAAGGGAGCTGTTATTGGCACTCCTAAATGGTCATCCTGGACTCATTCCTTACAATTTGAAGTTCACAGTTCTCTCTCTCTCTCTCTCTCTCTCTCTCTCTCTCTCTCTCTCTCTGTCTCTGTGTTTCTCTCTCATGCTCCCATGGTTAACAGGTATGATCCAGAAATAGATGGCCGTATTCTTATGGCGAAGGTGGATTGTACTGAAGAAGTTGACTTGTGTAAGAGGTATATTTTTAAATTGCTTAGTCCTACTTTTCACTTGATTTTCTAGGGAATACAAATTGTTTTTTTTATTTTTATTTTTTTTATACATTTCATTGTGAGCATATGCATTTTCAGTTCTTATTAGCTGTAAAACCACTCTACAGTTGTATTCGCATCTTTCTCATTGTAAAAGAGAGCTACACATGCTATATATAATAGCTGACTTATGGTGGACAAGAAAACTGAAGGCAAAACTCCACTTAATGCGCTGCAATTGTAATTTTGTAAATAGCAGATTGTTTTTTCATTAATGAATATTTTAAATAATAAATTGAACTCGAAATGATCAGGGGTTTTTAATTTTGCTTGAAAATGTGGTCAAGACTTATAAAGTGGAAGAGAAACCTATTTACCTTTTAACAAGATTTTGGAACGAGTACTCTGAGCTGCCTACCAGTACCTAACTGGGGTGGTATACGAATCAGTACTAGAACTTAGTTTTCTAAAGGGTGATGCTATCCACACACCTATTTTTACTTCTCACACACCCTCTTAATTTCCGGCCGTCGGATCAAATGAATTGAAGAAGATCAGTGGACAAAAATTAATAAGGGTGTGTGGGGGGGGGTAAAAAGGGGGTTGTGAATAGCACTACCCTTTCTGAAATGCCCAGTTAGAGCTCTAGATTTTATCTTAAGTGCAGTATTCTTACCAACATAGCATTTTGCTAGCACATTAGTATGTTTGACTGTCTTTCTCATGAACAGAGAACTGTTAACCTCAGGTTGGGAACATGGATGAGCTCATTTTAGACTGTCTGTATCTTCTACATTTTCACATCGTATTCTTGAATGTTGCCCAGTTAAGCCATCACTCTTTAGTATCCCAGAATTGAACCACCGTTTTGAATTTTTTTCATATCCACCAAGTTAAGCTTTTATGTGCTATCTTGTTATACTTCAATCCTTTACATCACTCTAGATACAACTTTGTTGTTCTCATCTTTACTTATCTCTCAAGTTTGCTGCATGTGCCACTGTCTCCCTGTTTTTTGCATTATTAACTATGCTTTCCCATAATGTTCAGGAATCACATTCAAGGATATCCATCAATTCGTATTTTTCGTAAAGGAAGTGATGTGAGGTAAATGCTACAAAATTTTACGAACTTTTTCTTTTCAAACAGATTTCTAATCATTTATTTATTATCGAAATGATTTCAGCTCTTGGAGTCTTAACATTACATTTTAGATCGCATTATTTATGCTTGTACTTTTTTTTGTGTTCCATCTTCATCTAACTTGTATGTTCATCTTATCTGCATCTATTGCATAGCGCCTGTGGTTTGTAATATTCTCTTAGGCTCCATTTCAACATGTGGATTTTAATGCAAGACTTGAATTTGAGGTTTTTTAATATTGTGTGTGAAGTGTCAAAAAAGGGATAAGTGGGAAAATTATGTAGACTAAATTAGGGAGGTAACTTGAAATAACATTTTGTTCTCAAATATTTAATCTAATATTCAATTACATGTTTATTCGATTAGCATAGAATTTTAATGTCTAATATCTCATACAATTTATAATACATATGCAAATCCAAATCCTTAATATCAAGTCATCTATCTAAATACAACCTTTAGGGCCAATTAGGTCTTATCAAGGTTTTTGATGATAACAGTCCAGGCTCTTTCCTCCAGGGGTGTGTGTTCATTTTGAAGTGAATGTCCTGGGTTATAAAAAGGTTAACTGTTCCACTGTCCCTTCTTTATATAGAACCGGATTATTTTGATTTATACCTCCGATTCTCAATTTCATCCCCATGGCATGCCTGTCTTGTACACATGAGGCTTAACTTAAGCAACCTCTTTATCTGGCATTTTTTCACAGGGATGAGAATGGACACCATGAGCATGAATCTTATTATGGAGATCGAGATACAGATAGCCTGGTTAAGGTACAAGCATTCATAAGTTTCAGTTAGCCTCACTGCATCACATGTTTAACTTTGTCTTTGAACTTTTTAGTACTTGATATTCAATGCCCCAAATGAAATTGTAAATCTGATCTGAAGCTTCCATCCTTGCAGACAATGGAAGCTTTGGTTGCACCTATCCCTGTGGAGTCTGAAAAACTCTCTTTGGAGGACAAATCTGACAACAGGGGTGAGAATGCAAAAAGACCAGCACCATTGACAGGAGGGTGTAGAATTGAAGGATATGTGCGTGTAAAGAAGGTGATCTTTCAGTTGAAATTGAATTACTAGAATCATTGGGCACGTTAGACCTAATCATATGACAATTGTTATTCCCATAGAATTCTTTGCTTTATTCTTCTTGATCCCAAAGCATGGATTGAGGTGCTTCACATGCTTGGAAATGCGATGAAAGTAGAGAGGTGATAAGGATTGAACAACTCATATCTTTCTTTTCCTGAAGCATGCCTTCAGGTCTTTCACATGCTTAAAATTGGAATGAATAAAGAGAAATGCTAAGGTCAGTCATGACTACTCAATTTGGTTACCAGGACCCGTGCACACATGTTGCCCTCACACCCTGAGAACCACATGTGCAGTCATGGTAGCCATGGCTGGCCTTGGCCTCTTCATGAATAATTTTTTGCCACATTAGCAACTAAACTATGGCTTTGTGTAGTTGGTACCTCCTTAAGTTTTTAAGTTCTTGTACTTGATGGTTAACATGAATAAACAAAAGAGAGAATATTGTACCGGTAAAATGCATTTACTCATTTTCACATTCTGACCTTCCTTGACCTGTCAATTGACCCTACAATGAAACTCTTAGTTGTTATTTGAGTCGGAATATAGGTATGATTTGTCCTGTACCGTGCAGGTTCCAGGAAACCTTGTAATTTCTGCACATTCAGGAGCCCATTCGTTCGATGCTTCTCAAATGAACATGTCTCATGTCATATCACATTTTTCATTCGGTAGGATGATTGCTCCTAAGGTGATGAGTGATGTCAAGCGGTTGGTACCTTATCTTGGTGGAAGCCATGATAGGTTGAATGGTCGGTCTTTCATAAATCACCAGGAGTTAGGTGCTAATGTTACAGTAAGTTTGTCACCATCCATGATTCTTCCTATCTTACTGTGTTTGCTGCTCTATTTTTTACTAAATAGTGTTTATTCCTCTTCTTGATCGGTGATATTCCTTCATCTTTATTCATTATTCCTCTGTCTTTAACATATGATCTATTCAGTAGTGAAGAGATCGTGAATGAAGTTTATTTTGCTTCGAAAGAATATGCTTAAGGTGGTTATAAATACGTTTTCTGGTAATTGTATGTGCAGATAGAGCATTACCTTCAAATAGTAAAATCGGAAGTTATAACACGGAGATCTCACAAATTAATTGAGGAATACGAGTATACGGCCCACAGCAGCTTGGTGCAAAGTCTCCAAGTACCAGTTGCGAAGTTCCATTTCGAGCTCTCCCCCATGCAGGTTTAATTTTTGTTTCAAAAAAAAAAAACCAATACCGTAAATGTCTTTTAGTTTTTAATATTTTCGCTTCTCATTTCTCTTTCATTGTCTTCCATAACCAGGTCTTAATAACAGAAAACCAGAAATCCTTTTCACATTTTATCACCAATGTCTGCGCTATTATCGGAGGCGTTTTCACGGTTGGTATATTCGTGCCGTCGTTCTTTACTTCTCTCAAGAAAGCAAACTGATTTTTTCTTTCCTTTGGGTTGCAGGTAGCGGGGATAATGGATTCAATTCTGCACAACACAATTAGAATGATGAGGAAGGTTGAACTAGGCAAAAACTTTTGATAGATAGGCGAAGCTTTCGTTAGTGTACAAGAAGAATTCTTTTAGAAGAAAAAAGTGGAATGAAGCATCACAAGTGCCAATTTTTCGGTTCGAGTTTTCAGTACAAGAAACGATTTTATGAACATTATATATGCCTGTATGGTTCGTAACTCCTGTAACATATGTTTAGCTTCTATTTTATTTTTTTTCGAAAATAATTTGATGATGGGAGCAGATTCGTGACACTACTTTTTGTACATTATTTTTTATATGTTTTTTTGGAGCTCATTTCGTAATGTATTTTAACAATTTGAACTATATCTTTTAGAATATTATTCATAGATAAAAAATAAAATAAAAAAAATCAAAACCACTAGGACGTTAGTTTGTAGGAAGAAAGTAGATGGATACGATTTTACCAAAAAACTCTAAATTCTTAATCTAACGTTCATATTGTTTCAGATTTAGATGATTTTTGGTCGGTATATCTTTATGAAAAGTTGCGTAAAAAAATAGTGCAACCTATCAGTCCCCATGATATTTTAATTATTAGTGAGGTAACTTTATACTAAAAAGGGAAGCACAAACTAGGTACTCACGCCTTTTGTTCAGGAACATGTCTACGAAGGATAAGTCGAAGGAGCAATTATACTTCTGCTTTGTTTTTCTGTCTTCCAGAATATATCTTTCACCTTCTCTTCTTTGATATTTTTTGCTGCAAAGGTGAGCAGAAAGTAGGGATAAATGTGAGGAGTTGATATAAAAATCAATTTCGCTGTCCAATTTTAATTTCCATTATTTAACGGTCAAATATGCAACTAAAAAACAATAAAAAAAATTATATCTGATTGTTAGTCAGTGATATTAAGCAAATGCGCCTGTACTGTAGTTAGTCCCTTCAATTTCATTGGTTTCAATTACTTAGCCGGTTGGATTGTATTCCTATATTCATTGGACATCAATAGATTAGATTTATGTGATTAGTTTCCTTGCAAAATTCACTTATACAATTCAATCTAACATGCTTATTTTCTGCCATAGGTAAGGATTTTCATTTTTTTTTAAATTATGTTTACTATTTTATTAAGCCAATTATTATTATTATTATTATTATTTTTTGAGTAGTGCTAGGGAAATCAAATTGCAAACCAAATGATCTGTCACCAATAAGAAACAAGCACATTAATCGACACTTAATTAATAATCCAATCATCTACAACCATATCATTTAGTTTGCAAAATTTTGTTTAAAAAATTTGGTTTACCTAACATTACTCTTTTTCTTTAGCATTTAGTTTTTGTTCTGCACAGGACAACAAATCCACGATGAAAATTTCAAAACTACAAAATCTACAAACCAAGACCACGATGAAAATTTCATAGAACTATAACAAAGCATAAGATTTAGAGATTTTTGGCTTGTGGGTATAACTAGGTTTTAGGGTCTATATATTCAAGTGAGATTTTTGTTATATTTGAAAGTTTTATAAAAAATTTAAAATTGTGGAATTAGGGGTTAAATTTTGGTTATAAACGATAAAAACTTATATTCACAATAAATTTTATATTGGATTAAATATGGATTAGCTAGCTAAATTTAACGTCTTTGGATGGACGAACACCTCAAATATCTTATTGCTTCCATAATCGCGAGTCATGGAAGAAGGATAATACTTGCATCTCCATCGGGAATGCACATATACATTTGCATGCACCGTGTAAAATCAATCAATTTATTTATTTGTGCATATATCTACAATATTGGCCTTTATTTTGGAGTCTCACAAGCACACTACAAATGAGTATGAAACAAATATCAAGCACCAGTACAAACATATACACCGAGCTTTTAAGGAAAAAAATCAAGTAATAAAAAGAAAGGAAACTCTCAAAGGAAAAGAAGCTTTATACTTAAGGAATCCAATCCCGTTAGAGTAGTAACAGTGTTGAGGATGCAGCAAATGCTCCGACGGACCCAATAAAACTCATGAAAATTGAAGAAGCTGCATTCGGAGGTGGAGGAGGTGTTACAGGAGCTGGAGTTGGAGGTGGAGACGCTTCACCAGAGGGAGCAGGAGATGGGGTCATATCTGTTGAGTTTGAAGGTGAAGGAGGAGTTGCATTTCTGTTGCTTCTGTCTGCCAAGACAATCACTAGCACCTTCTCATTTTTGAGACAGTTGTCTTTGTTCCCACTGATGAAATAGAACGGTCCAGATTGGTTAAACTGGTAGGCAGTGTGGCCATCAGAGTACTTCTCGGCCGAAGGCGAATCAGTGTTGCAGTTGTTGTAGTCATCCTGGGTTACTCGAAGCACTGAGTCTTGTCCACTAGGGTAGTTGAACACTGCAGTTGAAGTATACCTCAAGTAAATTAACAAGGGCAAGCATGGTTTTTACTTTTTACAATTTTATTGTGCTTTTTTATACAGAGAAGGGAAGGGAGGAGGGGAATTTGAACTCTATTTTTTTAGTATGGACGTAATTCATTATGATTATTTGACATGTTATGTTGCTGTGGGAGACTATAAATTATAAATTAAAATCACCCATATACACATAATTCCACGAAATCAACAATCCTAATTACAGTTAGTCAATAAATTTCAAATTGTCTAGCGATATATATATACAACATACCAGACTGTGTAGTAAGGTCGAAGAAATATACTTTTATATTTATTCTAATCACATAACTTCAATTTTTATCATCGTTGATCAATTTATGAACATGAATAATGACAAGTATATCCATTGTATATCCATTGAAAAGTAATATAATTCTGTCCTTAAAGTTTGACATACTGAAAGCTGCGATGAATATGTAGAGCCTTAAAATATAGAGCATAAAACAACTTACCAATGGAGTCTCCGATTTGAAACCTGTTTCCTTCTGCCCATTGACTGTAGTGAGTAGAAGAATCTGGAACAGCCCAACCCTTTGAGCCTCCAATTGCAAAGTCAGTTGCACCACTCTTCTGTATCAACAGCATCACACATACGATCCCCAGAACAAAAACTGCATTAATATTATTTTTGTGAATGGGGTTGGCCATTGTTGAAAAATTAATTCAAGATTTGGTGTAATATATATTTTGAACCAAATATTGCTTGTATTTCCCAGTTAAATTTGGAAGACGAAGAAAATGGGGTGGAATGAATGGTGTTCGAGAGAGGTTTTTATAGGCCAAGTTGCATGAAATACTTTTTACAAGCTATGGAGTCAGTGAAGCTTTTGCTACTTTTCTTATTCTTTTTTCTTTACCTTTTAGGTTTCTTGGCTCTCAGAGCAAAGCATACGTGCACTTTCAAATTGCTAAAGAGTTGTTCTTTGGGACTTTATGTTTGGGAACTTTTAAATAACTTGTTGTGTGGGTTTATTCTTTGCTTATACATTATCAAGAATATTCATGGCTTGAGTTCTGGGTTAGACTAATTAATCAGTCAATGTGATCAGTCATTCACACAAAACCTATGTGCCCTTCATTTCCCACTTTCAAATGCAAATATAATTGAAGATCTCTGTCTGTCTGTCTGTCTCTCTTCTGGCATTTGCCTATGTCAATTTGCATGGTAGTTCTGGAACTTAGTAATAAAAGTCTTGCAGAATGATATTTTGCATTGAAGAACTGAGGGTTGGTTTGGTATTGCTGTGCTTTGAAAAAAAAATTGCTTAAGCAACTGTAAAATAAAGCAGCAGAGTGTTTGGTAAACTTTTTTGTAAAAGTGCTTTTGGGAAAAAAAAAAGTATTATAGTGTTTAGTAAATTTTTATGTAAAACAGTTGTGACTGTGTGAAAGGACCAAAAAGGGTATAATAATAGATATGCCGTTAATTTAATTTTCTTAATAAATAAAGGTGAATTATTAAATATACCTTATTTTTAAAAGAAAAATATTTATAAACTTTAGTTTAAATATTAATTAGTACGACAAACTACTTCAATTGAAATATTTTAAGCTAAATAGTTATGATTCATTAGTACAATATTGTTAATATACTTGAAATAATGCATTCATCAATCGAGACTGAGTGCAAACAGAACTGACCTTAACCAACAACCCACACTTTATGCACTATGGTACACAAACACATACAATTTACAAAGACATGCATATGTGTGTCTGTGTGTGTCTCTGTATCTCTTTGAATAACTTGGTTATTCGAAAAGGGTAGCTGCGTGTCAACTGCACAACCAATGGCTGAGGAAAAATAAAATCGATAATATCTTAGATCCGTGATCGGTCCACATATAAACTAAACATTGATGATTAGTGATAGGCCCAACTTTCTCTCTCCTTCTCTTTCTAAAATTGTTGGCTTTCATTGCTATGCAAATTTCCTGGTCGGACCAAAACTTCAGACCTAAAACCACCCCAACGAAGGTAAAAAAAAAAAAAAAAAAAAAAATGAAAATCCAATAATTAATTTATGTATGGTTTTCCTTTTTTCTTCTTCTTCTATTTATGGTAAATACGAAATATTGGACATTTGATTGTGGTTGGTGGGTTGATCTGGGTTTTGTTTTACTTATTTAGATTTGAATTACTAGGGTTTGTGGTCAATAATCCTTAAAATTATCAGAAACCCAAAGAATATAAGGTAGTTTTGAGTTTGTGGACATTTATATATATGTGGAAATTCGAAGTGGTTGGTTTATTTTATTTTACTTGAATTATTGTTTATGAATTCAGAAGGGGTAGGAAGAATTGGAGAAAATGATGAGGGAGAAGATCAAGATTAGGAAGATTGACTACTTGCTAGCAAGGCAAGTGACCTTATCAAAAAGGAGAAGAGGGGATTTTGAAGAAAGCTGGAGAGCTGTCGATGAGAACCCATGAGATCGCCTCGTAGATGAAGGCTGTGCAAAAGGAGATGCCCACCACCGTCAGGCTGTCCAAGTACTTGAGGAAGGACACCGAGCCGGAGAACACGACCTAGAGAACGAGAAAGATTGCTGGAGAATGAGAGAGATTTGGGATTGAAGTTTTTTGGTTCGGGTTTTGTAAGAGGGTGCTGAATACGAGAGGCATTCTGAAAGTGTAAGGAAAGGAGGGCAATTTTGGGGTTATCGAAAAATTCATTAAAGATCTTTTGTTCACCCGTGTTTTTAAATAAGCTGGCTTTTGGAAGCTGTTATTTGCAACTTCAGGTTTTGGGATTATTTTCATCCAAAACATTGAAATAGAGCTGATTTTGAGAGTTTACCAAACACCAAAAACCTTCCAAACTTTTTTTCATACCCATTTGTTTTCAAATCACCTCAATCAATCCCAAACCAGGGCTTATACTGACTAGTGATCGAGCACATGTTCCAACTCCAAATTGCAGAACTCAAGTTTAAGCTTAACTTTGTTTTTCCGTCAGGCATATGGATGCAATCTCTTTTAAAAAAATATACAAATTAATCAAATCATTCTAAGAAGGTAATGAAGTACCTTTTTGGATTAGAGTTGATCTTGTGGCTGTTGCAAATTCGTTGAATGATTCTGTTCAAGGGGATCATTATATATATGCATCACAATTAATAAGGATGTTATTCCACTAATGCTACGATTTAATGGTAATTTTATCAAATTTTTAAGGGCAGGTTCGACACTAAAATATTATGGCTAACTTAATGTGTGACTTAACCCACCACCCCATAGTGTAAATGTTGAGTGTATATAAGAGACCTACCATATGCTTACAAGGAGTTTTGCTACTCTCCATATTGCCATTTGATTTTTTTGGTTAAACCTCAATTTCCTTTATATATTAGAGCATGTTAGACCATGTTAAGCATAAAAATTTGTGACACGTGAAATTTTATGAAGAAACCTCAACTTCCTTATGTAAAATCGATTCTCCAAGCATAATCTTGTGCTGAGCTAGCATTGCCAAAATCCACTTTGAAGAACACACGACTGGTCATCCCCTCTCGCCCAGTTGTTGAAGGCTTATAGGCTTCTCAGTTCATCACTAGCTTGGAGTATAACCTTACCACCTTCAAGAGCTATAAGACCTCTTTCATAGGCTTCATTCATTTTGCCAAGAAAATGTTTAGCTCACATTCTCCCACTGCTGACCCAGCTCAGGAACACATGTACTTTCTCCTCTATTGGTTGAATAAGCATGTGCTTCCCAACAAATCCAAAGGAATAAAGCTGGAATGGATTCTTTGGTGGAGGCGCTGTATTCCTTCGATGATGTCGCCACCGGTCCCTTCATTCTAGCATACATCTATCATCTTTTTTATAAGATGACAAGGAACCAGCCCTTCGAGACTAATATCAATAAAGTAGATGGTGCAGCTTTGGCTTCAATGGTACTTCCCAGAGTTTCGAGTTGCCAACTTAGAGTTTCTAGAGGGCGTAGTTCTTGTCCAAATTCTGGTAGAAGCGCCCACCACCAACCACTCCACCTTAGCATGTCTCTATTTCTTTAAAATCTGTAGGACTCGGGTTGATTTGGAGTGTGGTGCCTTAGTGCTCAGGAGATACCCTTGGTTCTCAAACAACCTCTTCCAGGATTCATTTGGGGAGGATGCTAGTAGCTTTTGTAAGGAGAAATTTATTAGTTGCATCCAGCAAAGGGACTTGGCTTGGGGAGTCTGGAGTGACAGAGCGGGCTATGAACGTGGGCTGGAAGTCTACCACCCCAACTTCTGTGGTAGGCAACTGGGTTTAGACAGGCAGTCCCAACCCCTTTCTTTGATTTTGTCTAGTGCGGAACTTCTTATCGCCTCTGTTCTCCTTTAGAGGCTACATTTCAGGTAAGCAGGCGCATCTTGTAAGTAATGAGTGAGATAGCTCCCAAACCCCCAACCCTTAATTTTGAGTGTATATCTCTGTTCACCACTTGGTGGGAGGCTAAGTGGTCTAGTAAGTATGATGGAGATCTCAGAGAATCCTATAATAGGCTATTCGGCAGGTCTTCTTCAAGTCTCTTCCTAAGAAAAAAGAATTTGAAAGCTGGAATGAGGTCATCAATTAGAAAAGCCAACTTCTACTGATAGGTAACCTATATTGCTGCCTCTTTCTTTACTTCATATTTTTATAGTTTATGATTGCTTAACTCTTTCTTTGATCTTGCAGCCCAAGGCAACCCTGATGAAGTGCATATCGGGCTAGAAAAAAAAAGGTTGTTGATGCCTTGATTTCTGTAGTCGTGTTCTTGAGGATGCTCGGGACATCTTTATGATGTTCAGTGAATCAGAGATAGAAGTTAGGCCTGAAACAGAGACCAAGGCTCTTCGTCGGGCAAGATCTATTATTGTAGAATCTTCTAACTCTAAGCCCGAGGGGAGGCCTTAAGCTAGACTTGATTTCCCTGCTCCAAGAGCCATTCCAACTAAGAAGAGAACCAGCTCTTAGACCTCTCAAGCTTCTAGATCTCTTTCTGCCCTTCCAAATGAAGCGAGCAGGAAAAAACAGAAGTCTACCAATAAGTGATTCAATCTTGATTTTTCTTTATTTAATTTTATCTCTTTAAGTTTTAAGCTAATCCTGTATTTCCTTGTGATTAGGACCTATTATTAGCAAGAACCTAGACTCTACCCTATAGGAGATGGAGGTAAGTACAGAGATACAGCAAAGCGATAAAGAGGTCATTGCCAAAATCTTAGAGAAGTTGAAGGTAGTCTCTTGAAATTTGAGTATGTAATTAATTCTAAAGTTCACTCCTCTTAAATTTAGCTAGTTTTTTTTTGTTTTCCAATACATGCTTCCAAAGCAGAAGAGACTTCTCAAACTGAGCCTTCTTTACATCCAGCCCAACCTGGGCATCTTTCTTCTCTTCAGGCTAGGCTTTTAGAGGTAAAATTCTTCTTCTCAAAACTTGTCAACTTTATATTTCTAAGTCCTAGGTGTTGACTTTACTTTTCCTATTTTCTAGGTAAGGGGAAACACCTCAGCACCTCAGGTTGGGCAAGCACCAGCTCATTCTTCTTCTCTCATTCTTCCAGCAATGGTAGTGATACCTACCTCCCAGTTCATTCTAACAAATGGGGAGATGCTTCACTTCGTTGAGGATGATAGTACCTCTGTAAGTTCTCTTTTCTTCTGCCATTCTAAGCTTTTCTTAATGTCGTTTCATTTTGAATTTATGCTCTGCACTTTGTCTTTGCCAGTCTTCCGCCTTGCCAAAGATTACCACTCAACCAACATCAATTGCTGAGGAGCC